AGTCCTGACCCACGCCACACCACGGACAAACCTGAAAACCATTAGGCTGCGTGAAAGAAGCTGGAAGCCAAAGGCCACGTCACATAAGTTACTTACAGGAAATGTCCAGAATGGGTAGATGGGTAGAGACAGAAAGTAGGTCAGGGGTTGAGAACGGAGTGACTGCTTACTGGGGTGGGGTTTCCATTTGGGAAGATGAAAAGGTTCTGGACTAGACATGAATGCCACATTTTACAGTTTGAGATGGTTAATTTTATGTGAATTTTACCTTAATAAAAAGCAATCAGGGAGGCTCAAAGGGTAGGAAAAATTGGACTTTGTTTGAGAAGCGGGAACATCTGTGCAGCTGAAGGGCAGCCCAGGAAGCCAGGGAAGGGCCAGTGTGGCTCGGCGCTGCGGCAGCGTGGTGTGGCGGCGGCGTGAGTGTGAGCAGGTCACGACTGGTTGACGTTTTAAGCCGTCACCTGGCTGCCCTGGCTGTGCGGTCGAGGGAGGCAGGTGTGGACCCGAAGGTGGCTGGGCCCATGGTGGAGGAGGTGAGAAGGGGAGATGCAGGCTGACCCTGGGCATTTGGGCGTGAGGGTGGTAAAGTCTGTGGGACATGGTGCTGAACTGGACCCAGGGCTGAAGGAAGGAGAAGGCCAGTTTGATGAGCAATTTGAGATGTGCATGTAAGATTAAGTGTCTTACTGAAAGCCACGTGGAAACCTCCTGTAACTTAGATAACTTGGCCTCTCACAGGATTTTCTTGCTTAAAAAGAGTTTGTGTTCTTTTTCACAGAAAACACGTTGAACAACAACAGATCACAACTAAGTCCACAGACAATGACGTCGGAATCACAGGATCTGGGGGCCTATCTGGCTGGTCCCCCTCAGGTCACGGAGGAGGCAGCGCATCCGCCAGGTCAGGTGGCCTCCCTCAGGTAAAGGCACTCAGGCCAAGAGCCCGCCATCCAGCAGGGCTCTTCCCGCACACAAGTCCTCGGAGGCATCGGCCCCCAGCCCCTCAGCCTGCCTCCTCGGCTCAGCCCCGGGGCACCCTGGGGCTGAGGTCCCTGTGAGGCCTGCACCCACGGTCCTCCCGTCCTGGCTCCATCACTTCCTAGGGTGACCTTGAGCAAGCCGCCACTCTTCTGTGCAGACAGAGAGCTCATCAGATAGGCAGGGAGCAGGTCCGGGCTTGTTCCTGCCTTCACCCCATCCTCTGACAACAGCCAGAAAAACCAAAGGTCAAGCTGAACTCCACCTACAGCCAAGAAACTGGGATGACACAGCGAAGGGGGAGAGCACGTGGGAGTCTCTCCAGCCTCCGGGCACCTCGCACCGGGAAGTTCCGGGGCCCTGAGCACCTGGCCCCAGGGTTCCTCAAAGTCAGTGTTCAGATATACTAAAATTTTAAGTTAGTTCACCTTAAATAACAGAACTTTGTGCCAGGGGAAAGCGGCACATTTGGGGTGTGCGTGTACACTAGACGTGTGCGCATGGCTGTGTGTGACGGACGGAAGGAAGGGGCGGTGGGTGGCGGGATGTTACCCTTTTGTTTTTAGAGCATTGTTATTTTCTCTTCTTTCTCTAAAGAGCAAAGCTTTACAAATCAATTATTTAATTCTGAAAGCATCCCATGGCATTTTAACTGTATAAAATCAGTCATGATGACATTAAGTTCTGATTTGGGAACCTTTCAGAGAGAACCACTGTGCTGCTTCTGAATGGGTGGAATAACGATACCACCTTGGCAGACAACTGCAGTGATTAACACTCGCGTCATCCCACAGCAGTGATTGCTGTACATCTGATCTCAGTGTGATTCCTGCCTTAAAATTTTCCAGGAAGAAAAAAAGACTGCAATACTGTCAGAAATAATACTATTGTCACAAGTAATGGTCTCTGAAAGTTATATTTCATGTTTAGTACATTTTTTTTTGGCTTTCTCTGAGTGCAAACATAGAGAAAGTGAATTAGAGAAACCTTTCTATATTTCAGCTCCAGTCTCTAAGGCAAACTGTCTCTCTCAGTGCTACTTACTATTTTATTTCTTACTTTTTTTTAATTGTTGAGAGAATGAAGGCCATAGTAAAAGATGCTTTAATGTTTCATTGCTCTGTGCTTAGGGGAAAAACCCCAAAACATAAATGTTTTCTTTCTGGCCTCCATTCTCTCTTTTTTCACATTTTGTTTCCTTTTTAAAATTTTCCCTTCCCATGACATCATTCTCCCCAAGACCTTGGTCAGCATGCTAAACATCCCAGGAGGATTTTGGTTAAATATGGCAGATTGAATGCACATGATACTTTGGTGTCCTCCTGAAATCATACCAAAATGACTGCAAGGAGAAAAAAGTTTCAGACTCCTAAGAAAAAGAAAGTAGACATGATAAATTGATAATACAGTTTGGAGACATGGAAAGTAGATGGGTGAGTGGAACCTGACTTAGTGATTAGAAAAAGATGGAGCTAAGTTTGCTTAGTGGGAAGTCAGTAGTAGCCAATCCTTCGGGTCTGGAGGCGCCGTCTACCTCTGGAAGAAGGGGTAAAGGAGAGACCTAAAAGCAGGCTTGGTGTTTCCAGGAACTTGTATTGCCGTAATTTGTGTGTACTGGCAGCTGCTCACCCAAACATACCCACCCATACAGAAGACTGGAGAGCTATTCTCTGGAGAAACTGGTTCAGGGAGGTGCTGGTCTCAAGGTATAGCTGAGGGCATGGGTGAGGCTCTGCACCAAGAGCTGGCAAATCCACCCAATGCCTGATTTTTGCAAATAAAGTTTTATTGGAATACAGCGATATTCATTCGTTTTCATGCTGTCTATGGCTTTTTTCTTTTTCTTTTTTTGCATTACAACACACTACAACAGCATAACGGGGATGAAGTAGTTGCAACAGAGACTCTATGACCCACAAAGCCCAGAATATGTACTATCTGGTCCTTTACAGAAAAAGTTTGCTGACTCCGGCCCCAGAGCAAGAACGAGCAATCAACCACAGAGTTTCAAATCAGCTTGAATTCTCAGTCTTCTGATCATGACCTATTCTTATTAACAAGAACAACTAAAGATTGCCAGGTAACTTGAGGAAATATGCCATCATGGGACACACGGACAAAACAGAGCAAAGGAACTCAGAGCAAACAGTGCAGGGAGCAGAAGAAAATTCCAGAAAACATTCTATAATTAATGTCCTTGCAGAAGTAGGAGAATGTATTTTATCCACGCAACATGAACAAGGTTCTATACAAAAGGAATACAGGAGAATTAAAAGAGTTCTTGGAAATTAAAATATAAAATCAGAAACAAAATAATTCCAAAGAAATACTGGAAGGCATAATTGACAAAATCTCTCAGAAAGTAGAGTAAGAAAACACATAAAAATAGGAGACAAAAATAGATAAATTCAGGATGTCCAACTGCTGATAAATAGAGGTTCCAGAAAGAAAAAAAAATGGAGGAGAAAATCACAAAAGAAAGAATACCAGAACTGTCCCCCAAACTGAAGGACAGAAAGTTCCAGATTAAAAGGATGCACCAAGTATCCACCCAGTGAATGGACTGACATCAAGAACATCGCTGTGCAATGTAAGAACAGTGGTGACAAAGACAGAATCCCAGAATTTTCCTGGGAGGGAAGGGGAAAAACACAAAAAAGGTCACTTTTAAAAAGTTCAGAAAACAGAATAGCATTGGACTTCTCAAACACAGAATTAGATTCTAGAGGATAATGGACCAACGACCTCAAAATTCTAAAGAGGAACGACTGCAACCGCGCAATGCAGTTCCAAGTGAACTGCCGACCGGACACCAAAGAATAAAGATGCATGTGAGCGTGCCAGGCTCCTGGGCCTGCGAGTCTTTATAGGAACACAGTCAAGAGGAAAAACAGCTGTGGAAGGGATGATGCTAAGAAAACCATGTCCTTATCTTCTGTTTAAAAATAGTGGGATAAATGACAAAAGAAATGGTTTATTGCCACACTCATCTCACACACTCTCCTCCACACAATCTCATGCCCACACACAATCCCTCACCCACAGTCTCTCACACACACACCCAATCTCAACCACTCTCCAAATACACACTTGCCAACACTCATATTTTCTCACACACATCTTTGCACACTCACAAGGTCACACATCCTCTCTCGTATTCTCTCGCACATGTTTTCTTATGTACCTCACACTCACTCTTACATAGACTCACATCCTCTCTCACACGAGACTACAACATGTGCACCCCACACGCTGCCAGGGCCTGGAAGTCGCCCAACAATGGACACGGAGGCAGCCTTCGGTTCTGCATGTCTTCTGGGTCCCTGATGGGTCATAAGCCCCACACTACCCCTTGCCCCCCACTGGCATGCAGGCTGCACCCTGCGGTCTCCTCCTCCATGGGGACACCTCCGGCTGTAGGTGAGAAGACGGTCCCTACACAGGGGACCCCCGGGGATGGCAAACGGCAAGTTCCGGAAGAGCTGGGCACCAGGCCGTGTCTCATCAGTTCTGCACCACTGACCCTCCTTCCCCAGTCTCATCTGACCAACAGATACAATGCAGTTCCTTTGATAATGAAACTAAAGATATTTGCTCCCCTTCTGCCGCTGAGTGCACCCCAAAAGAATGTTGTAGGCTGGTTTTGCATATTGTTTAGTAAGGTAGATAGCACTGCCTCATAGTAAGGCACTCTGAAGTTAACACTTGGCAGCTATCACTAAGGGGGATGCTTGGAGATTAAAGACATTCCTTTTCACAGGAATGTCTAAAATCTAGTTCAAGTGCAAGAAATGAAAAGAAAGAAAAGAGAGGATCACCCCAGAACTTCAGTATTTATAGCAGAGCTTTTTGGAGTCACTTGAGAGCTGGCATCATACTAAGACGGAGAGCTTCGTTTTGAGAGATGAGCAGCAAGAAGCTAGGCGGGAAGCTAAAGCAAGCGTCCGACTCACGTCCCTCCCGGAGCGGGATGGGCAGTCACACCAGGCAAGCAGCACTGGCAGGAGTGCCGTGGGGAAATACATAAAGCTGCCTCGGCACTTTCCTCGATCCGTCCACCATTGAAATGGGATGCTTGTGAAAATTTAGCACAGGGTATCCATAGGACTGTCTAGGAAATGAAATCATTTTGATTTTGTATCTTTAGAAAGTAAACAGAACATTTTGATCATTTCCACTGTGTCTGTACTCTTACACAGCCACCTACCTTAAAGATGCACATTTATAGGCCATCTCTTGAAGTTCGGAATGTGTTGGGATGTCGGAAGAACACGGCAGTGATCACAGTCAGCAGTGCATCGAAGGGATCCCCAGGCTGGCGGGCTGGATGGTCCTGCCTGGGAATGAGCAGGGATGCAGCCTTCGCTGGAAGGAAGAGAAAACACACCTTCTGTCCACGGATGCTGAGGGGCACAGAAGGGGGTGCCTTGGGCACACAGCCCCAGAGCAAGCGGGAAGCCAGGGTGTGAAGCCAGCCGTGGCTCTCAGGGGACAGAAGGGATGCCCGGACCCTTCTGCTTGCCCGTTCTGCTGCTCTGACATCTCCCTCCTGTACTGCTGGTCTCTGTTGGGTGTTTTTTGTTTGCCTTTATGCTTCTCCGCACTTCCTAACTGACTTGAAATTAGAAGCATCTGATCTTTAATCAGGAAGACGATCAGTGAGGCGCGCAAGCCAACTAGGTGACCTGGAAGAGATCAGCGAGCTGCCACCAGCCAGGGGGGCACTCTCCTTTCACAGCTGTCACACTTCCTTGTTTATAAAGTACCAGCTGGGTGGGGTGATCGCTGGGTCCCTTTGTCCCAACCATCTGTGACTCTGGGACCTGTGCTTGAAGTGCAGAGCAGAAGCGCCTTCACTCAGGTCCCCAGAGCTCCCTCCCGGCTCCTGGGAAATGCCGCCCCCTCCCCTTCTCCTGAGGCCAGGATTCCTTGGCATTTTACACCCAACAGAATTGACAAGCCCACCTCCCACGCAGACCCCAGAGAACTGACACAACAGGAAGCCTCTGCTAACGACGCCATCCAAGCGGCACGATGCTGACGATGAATCCACCTGCCCTGTGAAGGACCCTTGCATTTTCAGGGATGTCTGGGGACACGCCCCCAAAGAAGGGACCACCAGGGGCAGCTGTGCCTCATGAAGGAGGTATTCCTGGTAACGTGCACCAGCTGTTCCTGAGTCGCCCGAACGTCATCGCGCAGGAAGACCAGCTGCTTACAAACTCCTGCTAAGCAGGCCTTCTAGAACGATTTTCAATCCTAACTTCAAATTAGGAAAGGGGAATGAAGTTATTTTATTACTTACAAGGCTGTCATTTACATTCATACCAACCTGGAAAAAACACCTAATTTATTCAAGAGATTATAATCACTTCTAAGGCTGTTGGAATCTTAGCCCCCCTTAATTTTGCCCGACCCTCCTATTAACCCTGGAGGCTCCTCACGAGGAGTGTATACATCAAGTAGGGAAGTCGTCCCTGGTGCTGCATTCTTGCTACCATTTGTCACCACTTTCTCCAAATACAAAAGATAAATGCCTGTTTAAAGAATTTTTAAAATTCATGACAAAGTACATAACGATATCCTACAGTAAACCAGGTCAGCAAACATTTCTAGTGTTTGTATTGTCCACACACTTTCAAAGAGAAGAAATAGTACCCTGACACCCTAATTGGGAGTAAACTTCAGAGAGCATGATTGCACTGGTGGCCCTGGGAGAAGGTGATGCATCTGTCGCTGGGTCCAAACGCCCCCAGCCATCAGCACCCGTAGCCCACATTGCTCATGTCACCTCCACCTGCATGGGTGCTGGGATCTCAGTGGAGAAAACTTGTTACAAGACTAATGTCACATGTTCCCTTTCAGGACTGCTGCTGCCTCTCAAGAGCTAAAAACGTCCAGTGAAATGTCTGACGAGCTGAGTCCAACAAACACCGAGTGGGTGGATGGCTTTGCTGAGGTTCTCGCATCCCACGGCCAGGCAGGCAGGGGGCTTTGCGGAAGTGATGACCTAGACCGTTGGCTGGAGAGAGACGGGGACTGGGTCAGAGGGGACTGCAGCAGGCCCCCAGTGCAATGCCAGTAAGAGCAGCATGCTCTGAGAACATGCCAGGCCCACCACACTCCACACACATGCGATGTGTTTGATAAAGAGGCAGGAGGGCTGGGGGACCCAGGGGTCACACGGGTGAGAAGCAGGGCAAAGAACTGCAAAGGGACTATGTCCCTCCATTCAGGAACTGCCAGGCCCGGCCAGCCTGGACCTCATGCAGAAAGGCCGGAGGTTCAGGGCAGGGCCTGCCCAGGCACCAGAGCACCTGATGTATGGCTCTGCTGTCAGACTCCGAACACCACCCTCAAACATTCATGGCGAAAAGATGAAACTGCTTATAGTGATATTAGAAGCTCGCCTTGAGTCGACAGCACAGTGAGCGCCAGCTGTGTCTCTCTGTCCCTCGTGCTGCGGGCCCAGCCGCTGCACCGCTGGACGCCGACACGGACATTGCCAGAATCAGGGTTCCACTCCACATGACCAATGACAGGCCCTCCCCCTGGACGCAGGAGTGGTTGTTGACGTGCTTATGCACGGTATTTTCCATCAGTTATTCTAATTCTGAGCATGTTGAAATATAAAGGCTTCAAGCATATGTAAACAACTTGACCTTATTTTATCTTTTAGAAGATGGCAAATTTTTCCTTATTACAAATTAATACATTTCATTGAAGAAAATTCACATGAATAAAAAGAAGGAATGGATAACTTCCATGATCTCACCACCCGTGATGATGTCTATGAATTGTACGTGCATAGCTGGGCACACAGTCAGTCGTTTAAAATTCAAGTGTATGCAGTTACCAGGTACTTTTCCCTTACTACCCGATTATGAATATTTTGCCAGGCTTTCCCAACCTTTCTAAACTATCAGAAATTTAAAACTAAACTAAAGTAAATGAATCATCATCACCATTGGCTACTTGAAAAATGTTCCAAATCTAAGTGCCAGGAGCTCTGACCTTTCTTATAGCTTCCTTGTCTGTAAGTGGGTGCCAGATACCACAGAACCAGGCAGGAAGGGAAGTCAGCCAGTTAGTCCCCTCTGGTCCATGTGCCTTGTCATGCTGGGTGGGGGGCAGCGGGGACATGTTTGAAGGCTTTGTACAATGGCCCGCACCACACTCCTCCACCCCTCCCAGATGGCCACGTCCAGGAGGTACTTCACTGCACCATGCATGCATTTTGCTCGTTTGGGTATCTCATCAGGCAGGCCCACTGCATCTTAGGTGTATCTGCTGTTCCTCCTCATTTTGAAGTCTTTTCCTCAAAAACTCAATGAGATGTGCTCAGTGAATGCCACACCCACATACTGCTTTCTACCTGCTTCTCGTGACAAGCATGGGTGGGTCAAGCACAGCAGCTGGCCACGAGGATGCTTGGCCGACTCTGCCCTTGTGGGCAGGGCAACTTGGGTGCCCAGATAATGTGGCTCCTCCGTGTCACCTTTGACACGAGGATCCCATCAGCAGCCTGGGGATGGAGCACGGCCCCACATGGGCACATCCGGTGCTCAGCCCTATGCCCAGGCCCCGGGCATCTGCCATGGGAATGACTAAGCTACAGGAAGGAAAAGGAGACTGGATGGGTGATACCGGCTGGTTGGTGCTAAGAAGTCCTAACACAAAACACATATTAGTTAATGTATTGTTTTTCTAAAAATCATGTGGCCTTTTAACACCTTTCCCTTTAACCCAATAATTTAAATTCCTATTTTCAATTTGGGTTGAGGAAATGGAACTACATTTGAGACTGATCAAGACGATGTGATCAGTCAGGTTCTCCGGGGACACAGTGCCAGCAGGGTGTGTGTGGAGAGATGGATTTAAAGAGCTTGCATGATCGTGGGGCCCTAAGTACAAAATCTGCAGGCTGAGTCTGGGGGCCACCTGCTGGCAGATGTTCTTCTCAGAAGCTCAGGCTTTTCTAGAAGGCGTTCAACTGATTGTGAGGCCCCCACACACAATGCAAGATAACCTGCTTTCCTCAGAGTCCTTTATTAAATGACTTAAATGTTAATCTTACTCAAAAAATGCCTTTACGGAATATGCAGAATGTCTGACCAAATCTCTGGGAAGCATGACCCGCCAAGCCGGCGCGCCGAGTTCGCCACGGTGTGTGGAGATGACCTTCAGTCATCTGTGTGACTTTCAAAAGAGTGACTTCAAAACACAGAGCACCAGGGACACTGGGCTAAGTCCTGCCATGGCTGGGGGCACTCCACAGCAAGGCCCGGGGGGCCCGGGACAGAAGGCCTCTGGGACCTCCGAGGCCTGAATTTCTCTCCCTGCTGCACCTGTCCGGAGACTTCCCCACAATCGTGCCCCTGCTCCTGGCCCTCCTGCCCGTGCCTTGTGCTCATGCGTCCCTGTATCTTCTCTGCTTGTCTTCCCCATGCCTCAGAGGATGCCTGTCAGATTGCACCTCAAGGCCCCACCCCCATTTCCCGGGAACCCCGGGGACCCAGTCTCTGGACCACCCGCTTGCCCCACCCTTTGGCTCTGGTCTCAGAAAGACCAACACATTTTTTTACTATTTACTTTAATGTCTATGAACTCAAATAATGGGCTACCATGTTCTACCAATTCCCTCTTAAAACCTCTCAAAAGACAGCCCTCTTTCTATTCCTACTGCTACTGCCCACGTCTGGGCGCTCAGCATCCCGGGTCTACGCTGTCGGGTGTGCTCTGCTGGCTTCTGCCTGCTCGTCTCGCCTGCCCAGGACAGGGCTAGTCTCCCCAGCACAGACCCAGTCATGACATTCTTCTGCTTAGAAGTTGTCAGTGGTCTCTGGAGAGTTCACTGTAGATTCAAGGCTGAGGCATCATATATGAAATGGGTCCAGGCTCATCCTGCACATTCCCAGCTTCCTAATATTCTTGTAATGGGTTGAACTGTGTCCCCTCCATCCCGAGAAAAAGAGAAGGTGGAGTCCTAACTCCCAGGCCCTCAGGATGTTTCCTTATTTGGCGATGGGGTCTAGACAGAAGCAATCAAATTTAAATGAGGTCATTAGGGTGGCCGGTGTCCTTACAAAAAGGGGCCATTTGGACTAAAGACAGACATGCACATGGGGAAGATGACGGAAGGAGGGTACAGCTACAGGCCCGGGGTCTGCAGGGCTGGCAGGAAGCCACTGGAGGCCGAGAGAGCCCCGAAGCACATTCTCCCTCGCAGCTCTCAGAGGGACCAGCCCGGCTGAGACCTGACCTTGGATTTCCAGCCTCAAGAGTGAGAGAATAGTTGCTAGTCTGTGGCTCTTTGTTTGGCAGCCCTAGCCAACTAAAATGACCCCCGTACTCTGGCCCTTCAT